ATGATGAGAGTCGCATCAACGGGCAAGAAGGGGTCCCATTTCTCGGGTTTTGGGCCGTTTCACATGGTTTCTTCTTCATCCCTGCTCCACTGACCACCTCTACCCTTATTTCCAATGAGCTACTTTTCATCGTAAAATCTGCCTTTAATCAATCATCTTTGTTGAACTCAAACGCTATAGTAGTTTCCAACACAAGCGACGTCAGAAGTCCGGAAACATGTGCAAGGTTCGAGCTCCAGGCCCTTTCAGATTCCGACGGCGATGGTGGATTACACACCAGTTGACGCCGCACGCTGTGGCGCGCATACCACAGTTTTGCGGTGATAAGGAACGGTGCAGCAAAATTTCAAATTCTTATACACCACGAATATTGCAGTTGCCCTTATGAGCTAGAGTCTATCCGCTCCGATCTCCGTGCTATCTCGGAATCATAAAGACTTTGGATTCAGGCTCCGCCCACCAGTAGCAGCTGACCGCATTCCTCCTTCGCTGACTTAGACCTCCTCTTTCCTGACCGGACTGTCTGAACCGTATTATGAAGTTCGTGGAAAACTCCGCCCACTTTGGTGCGTGCCCAGCCCACCAACAGCAGTTGACCTTCTCTTCGCCAACCTCTACCCCTTTTTCCCGGTCTTCGGGCCTTCTTGGAACCGAATTATGAGACCTTGTAGAAAATGCTTCCACTTCATAGCACGTGCGTCCATTGTGGGCGGGCCTCCGTTCACATCATGTATGCTGGAAACACCTTAGGCATTGCTCCCCTGCACCAATTTTTTTCTGCTCTGTAGGCTTTCTCTTAACCGAGTTATGAAATTTTCACCAAGCACCGCTTTTTTCAGAGAACGCCCCACCCACCTGGGAGTGGGTTTTCCTACTTCGATCTGGCTCACCGAAACACACCTTTACCCATTTTCCTCCGGTATATGGGCTGTTTTGGAGTTATATTTGGAATTTTCATCCAATTGTTTCATTCCGATGCGTGCCACGCCCACTGTGGGCGGGACACGCTTAGCTGATGTGTTTTGTACTTACTCGAGACACCATCTGGCCTACCCATCTCACACACTTGACCCGGCTCTCCAGGCGAATCTCCAGGAAGAAGGGAATTTCGTGACAGACACCGTGACAGAATCGCTTTATTATAAGTAGGATTCCGAAGGCGGTGAGGGCCAAAGACAAGGGCTTTCTCTTGTTTATGGGAGAACATTTCAGGATTATTTTGCAATACGACTTTCCGCATTAGTGCTGCCCTGGGCGACAAAATAGTTTGCTTATGTGCGCTATGAGAACTTTTTCCCGTCTGGCCTACATGTCTTGCCTCATCCACTATGGCTTGGCCTGGAGAATTGCTGAACATTCGCTATATTTACCTTCAGCACTGCAAATTTCGGTACATGTCCTGCCCACCGTGAGCGGGACTACGCTGAATGCTTTGGAATGTCTTTAATTCTAAGCCCAGCGCCATATCATCTCAAATTTTGCCTCTGCAGGTAATTCTTCAGGTAGTGGAGGATTTCGTAACAGCAGACACATAGCGATTTGCGTAGTAGGAAAATTGGTGTGCTAATTGTGGAATTTGTCACTGAAAAATGCGCTACGAATCCCACTTCTACTACAAAGACAATGTCAATGATTGCGTACTTGGGCCTACACAATTACCTGCGAAATTCTTATCCACTTTTTCACGGCATAATCAATAGAGTACTCCTGGAGGACTTTCTTTGCGAACAGTGCCCTACAAGATCTCCAGCCGTTTCCCTTGAAGATACTTGTGGAAACTTACGATGAAGTAACTTGCGGCCGCAATACTGGCAACTCTTCGATGACAGCTGCTTAGTAACCCAATTGTGTCCGAACAATTCATAAAAAAGGGCACTTCTGTGGATGCACGCGTAGAAATTGTGAACTCTCAGCAGTTGTGGTTAAATTGCCTGTGAAACGGCGATGACCAATCTAGTCAACCCTCTTTATTTTCTGATCCAGTGAAGAACAAGCACGGCCGATAACACAACGTGATGAAAATTGTGTCAAGGGTTTCATTTTGGCCATACCACGTTCATCAAGAAATCGAAAAACTAACTTTTTTCACTACACAAACAAACAGTATGGAAAACAGTACATATGCTCCTATATGCTGGTGCAAGTCCTTACAGAGTTTGTCAATAACTTTGTTGATCGATAAATTTTCTGGTACACGAGATGCTAAAATCGATTATTTTGTTTCCATAAACTAACTGCATTACTACAAATCATTCCACACTGTGGAGCTTAAGGTCTTCGACCATTAACTCAAATGTTACAGCAACATGTCGACAAAAGCACGTCAACATACACACACACTCACATACGAGAAAACAATAATAAGTACAATCATACTTTTGGACCCGTTTCCTAGTTCTCCTATCTATGACAACAGAGTCACCAAGCTATTATTAATACAGTGTGCTTAAAAAACTCATAAAATCTAGCAAATTGGATCGCGGATATAAGTGTGGAACAATAGCAATGTATAGAAACTGTCAGTTATGGAAATATTTCATGGAATTCTTACCTCCTACATATTTTACGTACCACAGTTCGCCTGTGAGAGATCAACCAAGATGGTGAGGCCATCCAGGTGGAGGAACATTCGGCGGAGGAATCGAAGTGTTTGGTATCAAAGGAATCATGGGTGGTGGCATTGTGACGACGTTGGGAGCGTACAAGTTCGGCCTAGAAGATTCAACACATAAAAAACCTTATCATGTAGCTTATTTTATAGAGCACAGTAATAAACAAATCAAATATAGGATACATAGATAAAAAAAAACTAGAAGCGTTTGGATATGCTTGAGTGCTTTATAGCTATGCCAAAAAACAGCGACACGAATTCATGTAACCGATTGATGGCACTTAGGATGTCATATCTAAAGGCCTTCTCACGATTTTGAGCGCCCGCAATGGAAGGTATCCTTCAAACCTTTCAGAGCATAAGAAATCGAAGAAGCATTCCCCCACGCAAACTCAGAATAGATACAGCGGGAGATGGAGGGCTGGCGAGCACAATGTTGTGTGGTGACTCTCTCATACAAGCCTGGTATCAGTCAACTCCCGTGGACGGAGCTTGTTTGGACAGGACTGGATCAACTGAAAGCAAGTTTTTTTAACCCATTCGCGACCGCGCAGGATTGCGCAATAGCAGCAGCGTCAGAGATTTTTCTTCAATAAAATCCGAGTGAAGGGAGATTTCCTCTGCCCAGGGCTGGCGTAGATGAGCGAGGGTATGAAGATTCTTTCCATGGAAGAAAACTTTCCAAATTCCATTTCAAGCCCTGCAGCCACAGTAATACCATTGTCCCGAGTGAGAGCTTTGTCAGCCACCGGTGGCTGACATTGTCACGAATGGGTTAAATGAATTCGATGAAGACGTGATGTGAGTAAATTGTCATCACCTCATCTTCGCCCAGCTTTACATTCTACAAACATTACAAATTACTTCACAGGAGTTGGGTCCACATGGGACCATTCGTATCTTGTAGAAACAAAACTTCTGAGCTCGTTTTCTTGTTTTCCTTTTTTTGTAAACTGACGTACTCAGCAGCTGACTTATGTTGTCAAAAACGCATAGACGCATCTGGGGCCGTAAGGTATGCTTCCCCGAATGTTGCGGGGACGAAAGTCCCTTTAAATTTTTTGTTTTGAACGATACTGTTTCTTTATTTTCAATGCATGCTTACTTTAAGCTACACACATATATTAGATGTAGGCCCTTTATCAGGACAATCCCAGTTGGGACTACAGAGAAAATTTAAAGGAACTTTCGTCTCCCCTAGACCCATACGAAACCATACCTTACGGCCCCTGGTGGTGCTCAATAGTACGCCAGTGGCGAAAAAAGCGAAAAACCTACGCGCAAAGGAACCCCATTTTCGGCCCGTTGTTTTCACTCCACTAAACAGGTAACAGTTCGTAACGTACGTCATAAGGAGTTTTAACGCAGCGCGTGTAACAACCCATATCCAAAGCACGTATCAATCAGGTGCTCCATTTCTGCTGCAACCGCAATCTCGTACCAAATTAACCAACTAAGTAGTGGGCGACCGCCTTTGAAAGGGCAGAGTGCTTTCCGAGTCCTGCTCAGCAACCAGCGCAAATTTCGTCGTTAAAGCCTTACATCTCGCTTCCGTGGCAGCAAAGTAACTGATTCGTGTGGTGTATATGCTTCCCCAACGTGCTCCCTCTTCATCGTAATCGCCGCCAATATAAGGACGAATTCACAATCAGAGGGAAAAATGAATTAGGAAGAATTCACCTGGTTGAGGGACCCGCGGAGCTCCTAAGTGTGCGAACTGAAGCACAATTTGCACAGGAGGAGTTGACCTCGTTGACCTATTAAGGTTTAATCCCGCCGCGGCTGGTCAGTGCACGCCCACCGATCATCTGATCACTCGCCGCAGGTCTATACGTGAGTGATTAGATAGGTGAGAGAGCGTAGCGTTGAAGAGGGCACAGCGATGATAGTCGCATCAATGCTCAAATCAACGGGCAAGGAAGGGTCCCATTTCTCAGGTTCTGGGCCGTTTCGCATGGTTTTTCCTTCTTTAGTGTACCACTCACCATCGCTAACTTAATTTGAAATGGGTTGCCTTTCCAGCGTGAATTCGTCCTTTAAAGTAAAGTGTTAAGCGCGCATCTGCGCAGTCTCTGTAATTTTTATATAAATAACCATTACCCCATGCATAATTTGATTATTGCTAATGAATTGTTTGCAAAAATCTGAAACATGAACAATGCGAAATGGTTCAACAATAACGAATATCCTCCATGTGAAAGTACGGGTCATATGTGGCCTGCGCTGGCGCCAATGTTTTGAAGCACATCGGACGCTGAGCCATACCTCCAAATATGAACATGCCTTAGAAACAAGTTATTCAGATTTGCATCGCTATTTTCCACTTAGGAGATAATATTGCAATAGGTCAAGTGAAACGTAAACGATTTGCTACAGATTTTAAGAATCAAGACGATTCGTAAACCTCATGGCACTGTTATGAAGAAAAAAATCGCGTACGTCACAAGAGAAGGAGGTGGAACGGAGAAATTCGGTAACACAGGTGGAGGAGCATCCCATCGACTTCTTGGAGAAAAGTTGGTTACCTAAAAAAAGACGTAGTCAGTTTCGGCGAATCGTAGCTTTGGGAATAGCTTAGTACCTGTACTGCCAATGGAGATGTGCGACTTGCTACAGTTGTAGTGACCGGGAAGTGGGAAGTCTGTGGCACGACAGATAACGGTGAAGCCTTGAATGAAAATTTTTGGTGATAGGGATTACCACAATTGGCACAATGTGACTGTCATGATGTAACACTACATACAATCAATAGAACACTACATACAATACATTCAATGACAGAGACCCTCCGTAAAAAAGCTCACCTGGGGCTGCGTGACTGATGGCATAGTTGTAGAAGGGGTTGGAAGAGTCTGCACAACCAGCGATGGGTTTGCGGGAGGAGGGTGATTGAACACAGTTGGAAGACGAGTTGCTGTATTTTGTGACTCATTCACACGACTGACAGGAGACACCTAGGTGAGAGAAAGTCAACTTGGCATTGCGTTTCTTTGATATGCTACCGATCGTTATGAAGTCACTCCGCCCTCTGTGAAATCTTGCCGAGTTCTGCTCGGTTACCTTTTTCCGAGGAAACTATAGGCTACGCAATGTCCCTGGAACATAAATTGCCCCACTAATGCGGTCACGAACTTAAAGGCAAGATTCGGGATAAAATAGGTGTGGAAAAGCGTTCAGTATGAAGCTAGAGGTGGGAGGTGGTCTATAAAAGAGAAGGAAAGCAAACGAAATCACAGATTACGCCCCGTACAGAAACCTCCCCTATTTCAGCAACATTCCACCTTGGGATAGAGAAAAGGCGCGTTGGACGAGTTTCGCGAGCCTGACTCTAGTTGCTCCAGTGCCATTGACACAGGATCGCGGTGGGACCGCTGCCTCAAATGCGCCCGCGCTTTCAAGCAGCGCCACGTGGCAACGGACAGCGGAGGGTGGGGCTTGCGGACGAAGGTGTGAGTTGCGGGTCGGACGAGCTCCTTGCGCCTTTGTCGCGCACTTTCAAGCGGCAAAAGGGGTGCGACATCAACACTTGTCCGCCTGCCTACTACCCCCTGGATGGAAGAGGCGAGCGCGCCTAATCGTGGAGCGTGTCTTTAAACAAAATTTCGAAAGCGTCATCGGAAGTTCAACCGCGAGGCAAACAGACAAGGCCTCACTGGGTTAAGAATTCGTGTAGCAGATCTCACCGGAATACAATCCGAAAGAATGAAAATAATACTTACTACTGATAAGGTCACGCCTCCATGCACAGGAGCTTTGTTTTCGCTGCCATTGATGGGAAATAGGAGCAAGCTTATCTC